CCATATGGGGCATTCTGCATATAATACGGATGAAAGGGTATTTATGTCAGATGTCTCCAAGCCTATTTTATCGAGATCAATCTGTTCGAGTTTATTGCTTATGGACGGCAGATGTATGGTAAAATCTACAGAATAGGTAGTTAGCACTGGGTTGCCATGACTCACTATGGCGAATTAATGCGTTTTATTAAAAAAGTTAATTATTTAAAAATATTATAGCCTTGTAGACCATGATAAGCGGTTGCTATAAAATCGTGCTTTATTTATGGCAGACAAGCTTAGTTGATTAGATACTTGGCTAAATTTAATTGATGATTAGAGAAAAACTAACTGAAAAATAAATATAACTAAAATTTCAGCCTAAAATTAAAATTATGATTTGATTAATCATTTTCAATAAAACCAAGTATGATATTAGCTAAGGTGTAGATGCGCAGTAAATTCCTCTACTCGAAAATCATAATAATGCATTGCCAAAGTTGACAAATCTTCTTAATGTGTTCTGAAGCCTATTGTTGTAGTATCTTGCAAAAAATCTTGCCTGAACTAATTTCAGTACCCAAATCTCACTTTTACCCCTGGAATAGACTGACTAGGTCAGTCTTCTGGGCCGATGATTAGAGCTTGAGTGAGCCCGGAATGTTCGAGATCCTCTTCCGACAGGAGATAAAGTACTTCATATCACTTTCTACGTCGGCGTCAGACATGCGCTGGTAGGCGATATAATTGTGAAAAACTTCTTATTGTAAGAAGGTCAATTTTTGATTTTGTCCACATTTGTCGCCCGTCCATCAGTTCTAGCCACACGTTCATACTGTCAAACCGGATCTGCAGGCTCAGGAAATTGTCTTGGACTAGAGGAATGTAACTAGCTTAAACAAGAACCCGACTCGCTCAGTACTTTGCATAAAACGGGGTTTTCGTCTTCTGGAAACTGGTCCTTCTAGTTCGCTGCGTATTCTATCTAGCCCACGAGGAGATGACATCTGTATGCGTTTCTTTCGTTGGGTGAATATTTTCACCCTACTTGAGCCACTTTAGCCAATTTGAGGCAAGTTATATATGAATATGTCACTAGGAAATTAGTGGACCTTACGATGTCGTTAAACTTTATTTTGTGATTTTCAAGGCAACGTGAATGAGATAGATTAGATAGACTTGTATTTGATGACATACTTGACGATACT